GTGTTGAAGCTTGAGATGTTAAAGACAGTAGATTGTTTCCTTAATTATGGTGTTTAATGGAAGTAGTTATTAGAACAAAATGCTGCACATGCTTCAATAAACTGAGGCAGAGTTGAACTACACATCAAAACAACACCAAGAAACACCATAGCCACTAGCACTTTCTGTTGTAGTTTATGTATAGTATCCACTTTACATTTCTGGTGATGATATGGTTGAGCCAGTTAAATGTGCAGTGACAAGAGTTATGCAGGTGTTAGGTCACATACCTAGCTAACTAGTTTGCTTGCTAAGCAGCACATAGTTAATCTCAGATTGCTTTTAATTTGCTACTTTCAATGATTTAAATCTAACTGATCTGCTAAATCAGGATCAATCTTGCAATGTTAAGTTGCAACATTTCCTAGTTGCCTCATTGAACCCTGACCTATCTAGTACATGTAATCTGCAAGATTTTAGCTGCTGAGTGGCCCAACACCAACTTATAAACAGGTTGTGCTACACATGGTATTTTATATTTTTCATTCATATTTTTGAAGTTAATTACAGAAGATAATAATAATAAAAGTAACTTATAATAAAATGATTAAGCACTTGCAAGTAGGATTACTAATGAAGCCCCACTATGATAAATGTAAAGTCTGGCATGTTTTTGATAAGGACCTCTAGCCAATTAGAGAAGTAGTCATCTTATACAACTCTTGATTGTGGTCGATTAAGATGGCTGCTATTTAGCTATAAGTGCTCATGTCAAAATCATACAAATGTAATTTGATTTATTTCAATAGAAGCAAACAACTAACCTTATTGAAAGCTTTAAAAAAATCCAGAAGAATTATGATGATTTTGAGACAAGATTCAAGCAAATTAGAGATGATATCAAAGAACTTGATCAGGTTAATCGTACATGATCCTCCAGTAACAAATTCATGTTGATTGCTGTCAAGCAGATTTTGGTCAATTATATGCCTAAACATTAGTGTGTATGGAAAGTCAACTTTAAAAAAAAAAGATAGCTGAGAAACTAATTCCACTCTGTAGGGCCCATAGGTGTAAAAAATATTAATTTTAATGAGGTACAATGATATGGGGATTTTGATGATGAAGAATGAGATAATAGTTTCAGAGAAATCAAACTGTGATCAAAAGTACCGAAGGGTGAATGTGAAGAAACTGAGCACTGACTAGGATTAGAAACAAGACATAGGTCGAGTAGAGAAGGTAAATGATTCGGGTTGTCTGGAAAGCAAGATGAAAAGTTGACTATTTGAGTAAGAAATTGAGTTGAGCAAAAGTTGAGAGCCTTAATGCCAGCAGAGTCACTGGGATGATTAAAAGTGGTAGAGTTGTGACTTTGAAGTAAAATTATAAATAAATCTGTTTTTTCAATTTTATGGTTAAATAAATAGATAAATAACTATATATATATATATATATATATATATATATATATATATATATATATATATATATATATATATATATATATATATATATATATATATATATATATATATATATAAATATATATATATATATAAATATATATACATATATATATATATATATATATATATATATATATATATATATATATATATATATATATATATATATATATATATATATATATATATATATATATATATATATATACTCTTGCATGTCTCTTGCGTGGCATCAAAAAAAGTTTCCCATAAACTGTAGTTTTAAAGAGCGCGTTAATAAACCAGACCAGAAAAAACTTTAAAAATTAATTTTTTTTTTTAATTGATAGACTGCCTGGCCAAACCAAACCCTCAGTCGATGTAGCAGCACTCTCTTGCAAGTCAGGCTATTTGTCAGTCGTTGTAGCAGCACTCCCTTGCGAGTCAGGCTATTTGTCAGTCGATGTAGCAGCATTCCTTTGCGAGTCAGGCTATTTGTCAGTCGATGTAGCAGCACTCCGTTGCGAGTCAGGCTATTTGTCAGTCGATGTAGCAGCACTCCGTTGCGAGTCAGGCTATTTGTCAGTCGATGTAGCAGCACTCCGTTGCAAGTCAGGCTATAAGATAGTCGATGTAGCAACATTTACGCATGTTTTAAAAATGTTTTTTATTAAATCAATAACAAAAACACCACTAATTAAAAAAAACTTTCTAGTCGTTATAATTGCGGTTTTTGAAAAATTTTTTAAAAAACAATCAAATTTAATGTAATTCCGCATAAATTAATTGCTTTGACATTTCGATGACAATCAAAAACAGCTTAAGAGACGAAGTAATTAAAATTGTAGTCGTAAGAGACTTTTTTTACATTAAAACGCTCTTTCGACAACACTATATGGGTATATATATATATATATATATATATATATATATATATATATATATATATAAATATAAATATAAATATATATATATATATATATATATATATATATATATATATATAATATGTCCATCTTTCTTAAAAAACTAAGCTACTGCTTTAACTCTTCCTCTAACGCTAATTTTTATGGAGTCTTATTATATTATATACTAAAAAATGAAAACTTTGTTTTAATTTTTTAGTATATAATATAACAAAACTCCATATTTATCACAAGTATAGGCAGCAACAAAACTTCTTTGGACAATATAAGATGCAAACTAAAATACAAGAGCAATGACCTAGTGTGCACTGATGTGTCTTCAAGTAAAAAATTTTCTTGCCTTGCTTCCAACTTTCAAAAAGTTTAAGAAAAGCAAGATTTGGTTTGAAATTTGTAATACCCAGACATACAATTAAACAGAAAGTGTTAAAACTTGACAATCATTACAAACATATAATGAAAATGCCTTCTTTAAACTCAGATAGCTGTCCTAAGAAACTGCTAAAAGTTGAAAAAAGAACTTCTTGATCATTCCTACAAGCTATTTGATATCTCAACCAAAAATTTTAAAAAGGACATTATGGCTGATAGAATGAGAAGCAATGCTGCTAAAAATGAAGATATTAAACTATACAACAATCAAAAATTTGAAAGAATTGGCTACATTGCTTCAGACGCAGATGCACATTATGTCAGTAGAATGAAGAGGTCAGCAGATAGAGAGGAACACTTAAAACAACAAAAAGAAACTAAAGTGGAAAGATTGAAAGATCTTAATAAAAGAGTTCAAGCAGTCAATATTAAGCTGCTACAGTTCTGTACAGCACTTCTAAGTACTTTACTTTATAAAACAATAATTCACATTTTTATGAAATTTTTATTTATTTTCCTTCTATATTTTTGTTATCAATTTTTCAATTTTTTCTTATTTAATTTGGGCAAAAAATTAACAATTTATAATAAACACCTTCTGACAACAGGTGAAAATAATGATGATGAAGAACAGGAAACAAGTCACTCTTCTGAATCTGATTAGGATGAAGATTGAAATTATTATATTTAAGAACTTAAAAAAACCAGGTAAAGATGTTTTAAAAACCAACAAATTTAATAATGAAGGTCTTAGAGAATATTAGTTAAATTGAATTAAACAATTAAAGATAATTTAAATTTCGAAAAAATTATAAACCAATCATATTATTTAAGATAATTTGATAAACCAATCAAATAAAAGATTATTAAGTCAGCAGAAAATATTAATCTTACAGTGAGCATGGAAAAATTATTGAATGTAATTCAATCCTGGCCACAAGGTTCAATATTGATGTCAGACCACATCTGGGTAAACACTAGTTCTGTTTTCAAAGCTGGCGATGTAGATCTTGAAAATATTTCACTGTCAAGATCATTGCTCCATGAAAAAAGGTTCAAGTACATTGAAGTATCTAAATTTCTCTCTTTGAAGATGGCTTTGAACTACACCTAACAGACAATCTTCCTTTGTATCATCATCTGGTGATAATATACTAATGGCAATTTAGTCAAAAACTAAGTGTTCCATCATCTTGTGAAAAGTGATGGAACAAATATGATAAAGATTAAGTGATAGTTTACTGGCTATGTTTTGAAAACTTTCTTAAAAATAGATGTAATGTTGACTTGCTTCCAGCAAGCAGGAATAGCACCAGTAGTGAAAGACTTATTGTAGATCAGCAAAAAGTATTATATGGCTTTGAGAAGATATAACTTCTGAGAAAATGTATGGATAAAACCAATTAATACCAAGTAGTTTGTGTCTAGTTTGGAGAAATGCAATTTAGGAAGAAGTTGTTTTCATTTATGCTAAGAATCATGTCTGAATGTGGCCAGAGAATAGGAGGATATAGGAATAGAATAGGAGGCCCCCTCACCTCTTTAAGTTTGATCTTGAGGTTTGTGCTTTTTTTTTTCTTGTATATAATTGTCTCTTGAGAACATTTTTAAAGGCATTATTAAGTGCTCCTAACATATGATCTCATATGAAAGAGCATAAAAAAAAAATATGTAAGTTTTTTTTCTTTTTCACTAAATTGTAATAATAAATGCATGCTAACAAAAAGCAATTGCCGAAATCACTAAAAAACAACTTCATTTTGATTTTATTTTTTCACCATTGAAACTCGATTGTTAGTCGTTAAAAATCACGTTAGTATGTCACAACAACTTTAGAATATCTACTTCGATTTTCAAGTAA